CCTAAGACCTAGTTTCGCTTAGACCTACTTTCGCTAAGACCTAGTTTGGCGAGTGACAGGTAAATGGCAGGCCCCTAGGTCTACCCTTACACTGTCTACACATACATTGTATAACATTCACTGACACTAACAAGTGGAGTAAATGCATAAAGGCGAAGCTGCGTTGTACTGCTTGAACACAATGTTGGGAACCACGACTGAACAAAAATGCAAGTGCAACGCTGACGTTCATATTTTAGCGTCACCGTCGCTTAACACACGCTCTTAAGTCACAGTAATAAAGCTGACTGTTGCTTGGTAGGTTGGGTAGCGAATATCAGATAATTGTTAACATCGTCAAGGTAAACAACCACACACGTTATATCATGGGAGGCACCAGAACTACCGTACACAACTGTAAAGTAAGACTATGCAACGGTTAGGTATCTTTATTTTGAAACGTTTCGCCTACACAGTAGGCTTCTTCAGTCGAGTACAGAAAAGTTGATAGAAGCAGAAGATACTTGAAGACGATGTAATCAGTCCATCACCCTTAAAGTTTTGAGGTGGTCAGTCCCTCAGTCTAGAGAAGAGCATTGTTTCATAGTCTGAAACAGTATGGAGTTGAAGTGACAGGATGGAGCCTTATATAGCGCCATGAGGTGAGACAGGTCACTAGTAGAACGCAGATGTTGGGAGGTCAGGTCCCTCTCAAATCCAGCCCAGTATCAAGGGTATCTTGGTACAGACCTGCATTCAACTTCGACAACCTCTACTAGTGAGAGCGGCTGGATTTGAGAGGGACCTGACCTCCCAACATCTGCGTTCTACTAGTGACCTACGTCTCACCTCATGGCTCTATATAAGGCTCCATCCTGTCACTTCAACTCCATATTGTTTCAGACTATGAAACAATGCTCTTCTCTAGACTGAGGGACTGACCACCTCAAAACTTTAAGGGTGATGGACTGATTACATCGTCTTCAAGTCTCTTCTGCTTCTATCAACTTTTCTGTACTCGACTGAAGAAGCCTACTGTGTAGGCGAAACGTTTCAAAATAAAGATACCTAACTGTTGCATATGTGTCTTACCTAACAACCTGTCGGTATTTTATACCATTTTAATGTTCAACTGTAAAGTGAACATTGATGTCACAGTGAATATTGTGTTCACTCTAAGATTCGTCGGAGAGAGCATGGTAGGGTGTAGTGGGTGAGAGAGCATGGTAGGGTGTAGTGGGTGAGAGAGCATGGTAGGGTGTAGTGGGTGAGAGAGAGCATGGTAGGGTGTAGTGGGTGAGAGAGAACATGGTAGTGTGTGGTGGGTGAGAGAGCATGGTAGTGTGTGGTAGGTGAGAGAGAATATGGTAGTGGTGATGCAGTAAGGCTGCAACACTGACTGAGGTGCACACAAGAGATTTGTTGTGCTGTACAATGAAGGTCTGAGGTGTCGCCTTTCAGGTGTGCTCCCACAAGTCCCTCTCTGTGGGCAGTACCAAGACCCATGCTGGGGGTGTTGTGATGGGTGTCTCTAGTGTGGGTGAGGGTAGTACCAAGACCCATGCTGGGGGTGTTGTGAGAGGTAGTGGACCGGAGATGGCGTTACTTATTAAATAGGTGTTTAATAAAAACATCCTCGTGAGGTGTGACCAAGTTGTCCCGTACACAAGGAAATAAGAAAAGCAGTAGTGACAATGAACATTAAAATGGTATGAAATACCGACAGATTGTTAGGTAAGACACATATGCAACAGTTAGGTATCTTTATTTCGAAACGTTTCGCCTACACAGTAGGCTTCTTCAGTCGAGTAAGAAAGGTGTAGAAGCAGAAGATACTCGTCCTTCAATGATCTTCTCTTCTATCAACACTTCTGTATCGACTGAAGAAGCCTACTGTGTAGGCGAAAGTTCGAAATAAAGATACCTAACTGTTGCATAGGCTTACCTAACAGTAGTGACAATGTTTTGTCCATCAGAAAAGATGACATTGTCTCCTATCACAGGTTTTAAATGATGACTCGTTTAGTAGTCAGGCTGTAACTAACCTACTGTAATACTGTACTGTGTTTTCATCCTATTAAAAAAAGAAGAGATTCACTACATAGTAGTGGTTGGGCAAAGTACTGCTTGTGGGAAGGTGGTGGAGGGTGTGAGGAGCAGATGGTAGTGGATGGATATGGCGGAGGGCTGGTGGACAGTAACCTTCCAGGATGGTACTACCTTCCTGTAATATCAGTGGGAATCGAGAGTCTCTTACATTATGTGTTGCACTCTGGAAGGACTGCTGATCTTTTCTTATCTAATGAGCACGGGATGTGATTGGTAAATCTTATACGCTTCTACTGACATGGACGGGGCTGCGGGGGCGCAGACCCCCGGAACATCTCCCAGGAACACCTTCCAGATTTAGATTAGATTTTGCCACCCAAGTAACTAGTTTATTGTGCGAGAGAATACGTATACACAAAAGGCCTAGGAATTAGGCCCCATCAGGGTTAACAGGAATTCATCTGCATCTATATCTACAATTCACTTCTCTGTTACAAGCAAATTTAAGAAATTTGCTTAATATATCTGGTACCGTATTTTCCAGGTACACTGAGAGCACCTGTTTCTACTTTTCAATTTCTTTCCTAGACAGTTCTCATTCCTGCAGTATATTTTCTCAAACTGAGGAATAGTCTGAGACCTTGGCCAGACGGACACTGATCCTCGGATCCGTTAACACCTAACAGATTAACAGATAACAGCGAAATGGAACGAGTGTCGTTGATAATGGCGTTACTGTTCCCATCCTTCCTCTACACCTAACTACTGTCTTCTCCTACAACCTCTACCTCCCACTCACCCCACACTGTGACTCCCTCACACACATCATGCTTCCCCTCGCCCACACCTGCCTCCCTCACCTACACCTGCCCTCCCCTCACACACACCTGCTCCCTCACCAACCTGCCTCCCTACCACTCATTATATTACTTATTATATACTATTATCTATTTTAGTGTGATTAATTATCACTTATATTAAATTATAGTTTATTATTATTATATCAGCAAACAAATGCATCTTAATGTGACCTCAACATCCCCCAGTACATCTTGGTGTGACCTCAGCATCCATCAACACATCTTAATGTGACCTCAACATCCACCAACGCATCCTAGTGTGACCTCATCCACCAACACATCTTAGTGTGACCCCAACATCCACCAACACATCTTAGTGTGACCTCAACATCCACCAACACATCTTAGCGTGACCTCAGCATCCACCAACACATCTTAATGTGACCTCAACATCCACCAACACATCTTAGTGTGACCTCAACATCCACCAACACATCTTAGTGTGACCCAACATCCACCAACACTCTTAGATGTGATCCCAACATCCACCACACGTCTTAGTGTGACCTCACATCCACCAACACATCTTAGTGTGACCTCAACATCCACCAGCACATCTTAGTGTGACCTCAACATCCACCAACACATCTTAATGTGACCTCAACATCCACCAACACATCTTAGTGTGACCTCAACATCCACCAACACATCTTAGTGTGACCTCAACATCCACCAACGCATCTTAGTGTGACCTCAACATCCACCAACACATCTTAATGTGACCTCAACATCCACCAACACATCTTAGTGTGACCTCAACATCCACCAGCACATCTTAGTGTGACCTCAACATCCACCAACGCATCTTAGTGTGACCCCAACATCCACCAACACGTCTTAGTGTGATCTCAGCATCCACCAACACATCTTAGTGTGACCTCAACATCCACCAGCACATCTTAGTGTGACCTCAACATCCACCAACGCATCTTAGTGTGACCTCAACATCCACCAACACATCTTAGTGTGACCTCAACATCCACCAACGCATCTTAGTGTGACCTCAACATCCACCAACACATCTTAGTGTGACCTCAACATCCACCAACGCATCTTAGTGTGACCTCAACATCCACCAACACATCTTAGTGTGACCTCAACATCCACCAACACATCTTAGTGTGACCTCAACATCCACCAACGCATCTTAGTGTGACCTCAACATCCACCAACACATCTTAGTGTGACCTCAACATCCACCAACACATCTTAGTGTGACCTCAGCATCCCCAACACATCTTAGTGTGACCTCAACATCCACCAACACATCTTAGTGTGACCTCAGCATCCCCAACACAATAATCACCAAGGAAACAGATCATTAAATATTCCATTGTAACTTGTGATGCAGTAAAGTGCGTCAATCATGAAGTAACGTGACGGAGACGCCCTCCTTCCCTCCAGTCCTTCACCATCTCCTGTTTACCTTAACTATCCCTATTTCTTCCCCTTACCCCGTCACTCTCCCTCCTTCCCTTTCCTGCCAGGAAGAGGAGTGCTGGTGAGTGACGGTCGACACTCCCTTCCTCCTCCAAGCGTCGTAACACGTATGCCTAACACTCTACCATCGACAATACTATTTAACTAAGGAAGGAAATGGGTAAGAAACTAAATAAGTAAGTAAATAGGCAAGTAAGTTTTTATTTAGGCTTTGGGCACACAACATGCATTTTTTACACAAAGTACATTTATGGAGATTCAGCTTAGGATAATCCAATAAAGTCAGTTAATGTGACTTGTTTCCGGTGAAGTCCCTGTTATATAGTCAATAATCTCGTATATGAAAAGTGTCGTGTGTATTGAAACGGTGTTGCAGGTATTGGAGCGTTTTAATATGTATGGTTAACCCCTTGCCAGGTGTCTAGACGGTAACTGTGTACAGGAACGTTCGTGTATGCATGTGTAACAACGTTACTGATGTGTACAGAGCAAACGTGTAAAGGAACGTTGGTTCATATATGTTTAACAACGTTACTGGTATGTAGTGAGGAAACGTGTAGAGGAACGTTGGTTTATGTATGCGTGAGTGTAAGGCGAGGTAATTATAGTCATGTTGGGGTAGGGAGGGAGAAGAGGGTAGAGAGGGAGAGTGAGGTGGGTGGCGAGGCACGCCAGTCGGTCATAGGGAAGTGTTGAGTGTGGGGCGTCGCGCGGGGCCAGGCAAGGCTCCACCCGCAGGGCACTAACATGCCCACACCCGTTGACGAAGGGCACTAACATGCCCACACCCGTTGACGAAGTGTACCAACATGGCCACACCCGCTGACGCTGTGCTCGGTGGTGTGTCATGCTGGCACAGTCATGCAGAAATAACATTGGGTGTTGGCACACCAGGCAAGAATCACTGAATGTTGGCACGCTCTTACGAGAATAACATTGATAGTTGTGGAGAGTGGCACAATGGTAACAAAGGCTCAGTCGGGGTAGTCATTGATACGTTTCAATATGTTGTATACTGTATAAAAAGAAAATATTGTATTGTGTAATAATAGCAATTATCAAAACAAAAAAAAAAAAAAAATATCCCCAGTTTAACAAACTCTTTAGAAAAAAATATGAAGATGAAAAAAAATTTATAATGTAAAATGTTCACACTTGCTAGTGATGGTGAGCACCATGGTAATAGTAAGTCCACCCACTCATCAGGCAGGCTAGTTAAAATGTAAAGTTTCCTGAAGATATCGTGCGCATTTAATTGTCAGTGTTTCGTTAAGCTACTAATAATGTAAATGTTGTCCATCAACGTTATACAAAAGCGACACTGGCGTTATAATACTGTGTGAGGAAATCTGTCTGGTAAATACATAACTGCGGGGCTTAGAGTGTTTCTGGAGAAGTGAGGAGTTGCGGCACTTAGCTGAAGTCTGAGTACACTGAATAACTTAGTGAATGTCTGATGGTCTTGTTTAGTCATGGTATCCACACTGCACATCACCCTCAGCTACAACCAGCCGGGTGCTCAAAGCTTGGGCCGCAGTGTATCCTGCGAGGAGACCAATCTTGTGGGCTTCACTGCTCCCACTCTCTCTACTACCTCCAAAAACAACTCTCTCTCCACCTCCAGCGTGCTCAATGCTACAATACCCCTCTCTAGACCTAAACCTTCATCGGTCCAAAATCTTCTGGCCCCAACGCCTTACAGCCCAACGTTAGCTCTAAAATCACCGTCCTGGTCGCCTGTTAGATTTAAACCTAAGTCAATATCAGAGCCGCTGAAGAACTCAGATACTGCAGCGTCGAAGACTGATATCGTAGTAAGCTGTGATAAGAGTGCTGCAGGAAGAACTGCGGGGGCTTCACGCATCGTTAGTAACAAGCTAGCCACTCTTGTGGCCCACTGGTCTTCGGCCGATACTTGGCTCGCAGACCCGACCAAGTTAACTCAGGGACCCTCCTTTAGATCTATTTCTAAGTCTTCAAGTGCTAGTCAGGTGTTCTCTTCACCGGCTTCTCGAGGGCTTTCTGCTGGTGCTGCTGACAGCTTATCTCAAAGCTTCAGACTGTCTGCCCATACTCAAGCACCATCTACGTCTACCCAAGCGTCACCTACATCTACCAAAGGGACATATACATCAACACAAGAAACATGTAGATCTACCAAAGAGCCATCTAGATACGTGAAACAGCCGTCTAAATCTACCAAAGAGCCATCTAGGTCCATTCATGCGCCATCTGTATCTACCAAGGAGGTATCTAGATCTACCGAAGAACCATCTAGATCTACCAACGAGCCATCTAGCTTTAGCCAATCTCCATTTAAATCCAATCAAGAACCATCCCTATCTACCAAAAAGATATCTAAATCTACTCAAGAGTTCCAAGAGTCCTCTAACTCTACCCAGGGGCCATACAGATCTACCAAAAAGTCAGCTAGAACTACCCATAAGTCGTCTACTTCTGCCCAAGCTGCATCTTCATCTTCCAAAAAGATATCTACATCTACCAAGAAATCATCTAGATCTGTTTCTGAAGAGTCATCTACTGCAGCTGTCCAAGGACCATGTACTGCAGCTGTCAAAGAACCATCTACTGCAGCTGTACAAGGACCATCTACTGCAGCTGTCAAAGAACCATCTACTGCAGCTGTCAAAGGACAATCTACTGCAGCTGTACAAGGACCATCTACTGCAGCTGTACAAGGACCATCTACTGCAGCTGTGCAAGGACCATCTACTGCAGCTGTTAAAGGACCATCTACTGCAGCTGCCCAAGGACCATCTACTGCAGCTGTGCGAGGACCATCTACTGCAGCTGTTCAAGGACCATCTACTGCAGCTGTCCATGAAACATCTGCAGCTGTCAAAGGACCATCTACTGCAGCTGTCCATGGAACATATACTGTAGCTTTCAAAGGACCATCTACTGCAGCTATCCATGGACTCTCTAGTTCTACCCAAGGACCATCCAGCGCTACCCAAGGACCATTTAACAGTGCTCAAGGACAGTCTCCTAGCACTATCCAAGGACAGTCTCCCAGTACAATCCAAGAACAGCCTCCCAGTACAATCCAAGAACAGCCTCCCAGTACAATCCAAGGACAGTCTACCAGTGCTACCCAAGGACAGTCTCCCAGCAGTGGCAGAAAGCAGCTTCTGGGAGACACGGCTTGGCTGTGTGTCAGCAGTCCTGGGTCCGCCTCCAGTTCCTCTCCAGTGTCTCCATCCACACCTTGGAGGCACTTGCCGAACCGCCTCAACTCCAGCTTATGCCAACGCTTTGAAAATGTAAGTCGAACATGTTCAGCATGTTTAGAATTGGCCCTGAGGGAGAATTTATCGAGTACTGTCACTCATCCTTAGTATTGAGAAGCCCCATTCATCCTCTGAGTGAACATACCTCCATAGAGACACTATATAATATCAGTTCATATAATTGATACGTCATAAGCGATATCAACTCCATACTTGGATGTTTCAGACTTTCAGTATACACGTATTATTATGACTCACGAAATCGTAATGACACGATTACGGGTTCTAACCCCACCCGTGGTATGTTTTTTTTACGTATTATTACCTTTACAGTTACAGTGTCGTTATCTACAGGCATCACTCTTCATACATGCCTCTGGTATTATTTATATACTCTTGTAATCTGTCGGAGAAAGAGATTATCCTCCTCTCCACACACTCTACACTGATTTTCCTGTCGAGTTGCTACAGCAACCTGCTACGTGTATAGGTAACCTCAGCTAATCTTGGCTTATCTATTTTCACCTTTCTTACCATAAACAAATATTACATGTAATGGAGTCATATTGTGATGTTGGCTCCTTCAAGGGAGGCGCCTTGACGCCGGTGAAATGTTCCTTATTCAAGGTATTAAAGCTGCCCTCCCTTTCCTTGGATCGAATCTGATTGTCACCCATTTCGCAAGGCGCTGTATGAGCTCTGGGGTTTAAATCGCTGCCTCCCCCCCCCCCTCCTTTCGCTTCATGACGTAACTAAAATTGAAGTGTTTTACTGTGTGTAACTAGTTGATGGTTCAAGTCGGACCGAAACGTCGTCATAAGTGTCATTCTTCTATGTGCGGGTTATTTGTGTATTGTTCCAGTCACGGTATTGTGTATTTATGTTCTTTATCTGACCTTCTCATATGTGGTTTAGTTATTTTCACCATTATCTTACTTTAATTCCATGGAAGACTTCCTTTAAAGTCCTTCCATAAAGGACATCCTTTAAAGTCCTCTCATGAAGGACTTCCTTTAAGACCCTCTCATAAAGGACATCCTTTAAGGTCCTTCCTGCTGTGACAGAGTTCCTCGTTCAACTCCTAACAATTTAAATCTTCATCACTTACATTTTTCCCACCTCTTCCCTGATACTGCTTCTTGTTCAGTACAATGTTGGTAGCTCTGCTAAGAATGTTATTTACGTTACCTCTTAACAACTGAGTGGCAAAAATAATATTTTAACTGTCTTACTCTGTCATAGATTGACGGTAGGTTCGGTATTTGTCTGAAGTTATGGATTATTACAACTGGAATGTGGCTTAGAATTATTCTTATGGCTTAATTCTGAATTTGCTGAGGTTTATAATCTTATTGTATTAAGAGAAGCACCATAGTGTATAATCTTGATGTTAGGGGCAGCATAGCGTATAATATTCTTGATGTTAGGAGCAGCATAGCGTATAATATTCTTGATGTTAGGAGCAGCATAGCGTATAATATTCTTGATGTGAGGAGCAACATAGTGTATAATATTCTTGATGTTAGGAGCAACATAGTGTATAACATTCTTTATGTGAGGAGCAACATAGTGTATAATATTCTTGATGTGAGGAGCAACATAGTGTATAACATTCTTGATGTTAGGAGCAGCATAGCGTATAATATTCTTGATGTGAGGAGCAACATAGTGTATAACATTCTTGATGTGAGGAGCAACATAGTGTATAACATTCTTGATGTGAGGAGCAACATAGTGTATAACATTCTTGATGTGAGGAGCAACATAGTGTATAACATTCTTGATGTGAGGAGCAACATAAGAACATAAGAACATAAGAACGAAGGAACACTGCAGAAGGCCTACTGGCCCATGCGAGGCAGGTCCAAGTCCCTACCGGCTTAAGCCAATGCACCCAACCTAGTCAGGTCAGGTCACATTGAGTTAAGGGAGGAACACGGCAACCGACCTGTTAGCACAAGCTATCAGGTCTAACTCACACCCACCCACATCTACTCATGTATTTATCCAACCTATTTTTAAAGCTACACAACGTTCTGGCCTCTATAACGGTACTTGGGAGTTTGTTCCACTCATCCACAACTCTATTACCAAACCAGTACTTTCCTATATCCCTCCTGAATCTGAATTTTTCCAACTTAAAACCATTGCTGCGAGTCCTGTCTAGGCTAGATATTTTCAGCACACTATTTACATCCCTTTATTTATTCCTGTCTTCCACTTATAAACCTCAATCATTTTCCCCCTGATTCTACGTCTTTCTAGAGAGTGCAGTTTCAGGGCCCTTAGTCTATCTCATAGGGAAGGTTTCTGATACATGGGATCATCATTGTATCCTCCTTTTTACATTTTCCAGAGAATTTATATCCATTCTGTAATACGGTGACCAAAACTGTGCACATAATACTAAATGAGGCCTAACCAAGGATGTATAGAGTTGAAGAACAACCTGAGGACTCCTATTATTTATGCTTCTTGATATGAAGCCAAGGATTCTATTAGCTTATTGCGAACACTTATGCACTGTGTCTTGGTTTCAGATTACTGCTAACCAGAACTCCCAAATCTTTTTCGCATCCGTAATATTAAGATCTACATTATTTAGTTTATATGTGGCATGGTTATTGTCCTGTCCAACATTTAGAACTTTGCATTTGTCTATATTAAACTTGCATCTGCCACTTCTCCGACCACTGCATCAGTCTATTCAAATCTTCCTGGAGTGCTCGAATGTCCTCGTCAGAATGAATTCGACGGCCTATTTGGTGTCATGGGCAAACTTGCCGATGTCGCTCTTTATGCCCTCATCTATGTCGTTTATGTAGATTGTGAACAGCAGGGGGCCCAACACTGACCCCTGTGGAACACCGCTCGTGACGCTTCCCCACTCTGATTTCTCCCCATTTATGCAAACTCTCTGCTCTGCATAGTGTATAACATTCTTGATGTGAGGAGCAACATAGTGTATAACATTCTTGATGTGAGGAGCAACATAGTGTATAACATTCTTGATGTTAGGAGCAACATAGTGTATAACATTCTTGATGTGAGGAAACAACATAAGTGTATAACATTCTTTATGTTAGGAGCAACATAGTGTATAACATTCTTGATGTTAGGAGCAACATAGTTTTATAACTTCTTGATGTGAGGAGCAACATAGTGTATAACATTCTTGATGTGAGGAGCAACATAGTGTATAACATTCTTGATGTTAGGAGCAACATAGTGTATAACATTCTTGATGTTAGGAGCAACATAGTGTATAACATTCTTGATGTTAGGAGCAACATAGTGTATAATATTCTTGATGTGAGGAGCAACATAGTGTATAACATTCTTGATGTTAGGAGCAACATAGTGTATAATATTCTTGATGTGAGGAGCAACATAGTGTATAACATTCTTGATGTTAGGAGCAACATAGTGTATAACATTCTTGATGTGAGGAGCAACATAGTGTATAAATTCTTGATGTAGGAGCAACATAGTGTATAACATTCTTGATGTGAGGAGCAACATAGTGTATAATATTCTTGATGTGAGGAGCAACATAGTGTATAACATTCTTGATGTATACAATGTACATCATATGTAGCACTGATGTTGATGCTTCACATTTTCAACAATACCTTCACATCACAGAGCTTAAAACACTTGGTAATCAGCGAGTAATTGCTACTAACAACAACCTGAATGATCCATCTGTGGCGCGTCATGTTCACACTCGAAAAAAAATTTTCTAACCTTGGAGGCTTTCGGATTTTGGAATTTCGGATAAAGGATTCCCTACTGTACATATATCCTTGTGTCCCTGTATTGTCTGTAACAGCTTGACAAGGCTCCTAGAGGACAAAACGTTGCCACAATAAAATGTCAGATTAGCTGCACACGTGTCCTTTAACCTAACATATTGTGGGTAATTCTACCAACATTATCACAACAATACTCGCCCTTCCTTTCTTTCTGGAGGTCTATCATGGCTTTTGAGGTATCCAGTCCATTTAAAAGTTTCTCCCTCTCCTTCCCTGTTGTGTGTATAGTATCAAGTACCCCTGAATTCTTGAACCTTATTTTTTCTGTGCGATTCGTTGTGAATCTTTGATCCTTCTTGAGTTTCTGTACGTGTTTAATTATGTGGGGGACACGGCGCAGCGCAAGAATATTCCGCGGTGGGTCTTACGTATGTCCTCAATAATCACATCAAGAATTCTTTGTACGGATTAATGAATTATTATTATTGAGATTTGTTAGTCTCACGTATACCGTCGATATTATTTGATTTATTTACACCTCTAGTGATATAATTGGCGTGATGTCAACAGGTATGTCACCAAGTTTGTCACTAAATGTATCATTAAATACCTCTTTGTGGCTGCCGGGGCCTAGTCTCGGCTACCAGCCCCACTTCTTATGTCACCAAGTGTGTCACCAAATGTCAGTGTGTCACCAAGTATATCACCGAGTGTGTCACTAACCACAAAGCCGTGAGCCAGGTTATAAATGGGACCTTAATATAAATCACTTTCAGAATTATAATTTAAGATAAGTGAGTATACGAAGCAATTTTCGACTCATACACATTCGTGTCACCAGCCAGTCATAAATTATATGTTTTTGGTTTAACTAGCAGATATTTTATTCGATAGGAGTTCTTCCTGGAGTTAGAAGTGAGTCATGGAGGCAGCAGTGTTCCATGGAGGCAGCAGTGTTCCTTGGAGGCAGCAGTGTTCCATGGCGGCAGCAGTGTTCCTTGGAGGCAGCAGTGTTCCATGGAGGCAGCAGTGTTCCTTGGAGGCAGCAGTGTTCCATGGAGGCAGCAGTGTTCCATGGAGGCAGCAGTGTTCCTTGGAGGCAGCAGTGTTCCATGGAGGCAGCAGTGTTCCTTGGAGGCAGCAGTGTTCCATGGAGGCAGCAGTGTTCCTTGGAGGCAGCAGTGATCCATGGAGGCAGCAGTGTTCCATGGAGGCAGTAGTGTTCCATGGAGGCAGCAGCGTTCCTTGGAGGCAGCAGTGTTCCTTGGAGGCAGCAGT